TTTTTTGGCAAGATTGCAGGATGCTTGCTTTCAGGATCCAGCTGAGAGCTATGAAGTCGTCCTCCAACTCTTAAGATTGCTTCTTCATCGATGAAGGCGGTTAGACGGCTTAATACATGAGTATGTGGAAGTTTTTGATTTGCTGACAGTGTCTTAAGCTCATGAGCGAAATATGCTGCTTGGGTTGACTTTACCCAGAATTTTCTTGCTCTTTCTAAGTCATTAGGAGTGATTGATGTGCAGGGATCTGGTACTCTTTTGAGTCTTGACGTTGCTTTGAAGATAATAACAGTGATTCTTAGGAGTCTAAATATGCTAGAGTACCTGCTAATGAGATCCCATTGAGGTGGTTTTGTTGAAGTCGTTGCAACGAATGATAGACCAGGCTGTGCTTCCAAGGTGCAGGCCTGATCATGGAGAGGTTGTAGCTTTGGCCAATGTTTCGTTGACTTAGAGAGCCAGGTGGGTCCCGTCCTCCATAAAGTATTGTTGATTAATTGTGAAGTGTTGATGCCTCTTGATGCGCAGTCAGCTGGATTGTCCTTACTTGGAATATGATGCCATTTCGCGTCAGGCACCAGATCTTGAATTTGAAGAACTCTATTCCTTACGAAGTCTTTCCATCTGGCTGTGTTAGAATTGATCCACGTAAGTGCCACTGATGAGTCCGTCCACAAATGAATAGAGTCTATGTTCACATGAAGTGTAGCTCGAACATAATGTAGAAGTTTGGCCAGAATTAGCGCAGCATTTAATTCTAGCCTCGGGATCGTGAGTTTCTTGAGTGGTGCTACTTTAGTTTTTGCGCAGAGTAGTGAGATTGTGGGCCCTGTGGACGGCGATTGTATTCTTATGTAGATTGCTGCAGCCATGGCTAGTTGAGATGCATCAGAGAATCCGTGCAATTCACATAATGACTGTCGGTATGTGGATATCCATCTTGGAAGTGATACTTTGTCTAGATATCGCAGATCTTCTCTAATGTTTAGCCATTGTGCAACCAGAGCTCCTGCAATAGCATTTTGGTGCGCACCGTAGTTGGAGAAACGAATCCCAGTGGATCGAATATCTGAGCTACTTCAGACATTATGAGCCGTTTTGTCATTTTGGATCCTGAATTCCTCGATTGTGACGTGAAGTTGAAGTTATCCGTTGAAGGATTCCAATTTAATCCGAGTATTTTGGTAGTGCAGTCGTCGAATGATATTGATGATAAAGAGCTTGAAGACTGCAATTTCTAAAGTGTCAGGATCATCAGCTCCACCAAAGATGTCGTCAACATATCTGCCCTTTGTTATTGCTTCCGAAGCTAAAGGATAATTACTTCCTTTTTGGTTGTTGTTGTTTCAACTAATTGAAGTAAAACGCGAATTGCCAGATACGGAGCTGATCTTGTGCCATATGTTACTGTCGTCAGCTGGTATGGCGTGATGTTGTTCTGGTTATCCAACCAAAGAATTTGCTGGAGGTGCCAATCATCTTCATGTACCATAATTTGGCGGTACATTTTCGTGATATCCGTTGCGAATACATACTTGTGTTGACGTACCCACAGCAGACTGTCGGTAATATCTAGCTGAATTTTTTCTCCAGTTAAAGTAATGTCATTTAGTGTGTATCCGGACGTAGTGGGGCTGGATCCGTTGAAAACCACTCTAAGCTTAGTGGTTGTACTGCTTGGTCGCTGGACCCCGTGATGTGGCATGAAGTACTTTATGTCGAAGTGTCATGCTTGGTTTTCACCATGTGACCAAGCTCTTCGTAGTCACGCATGAATTGAGTGTAGAGCTGGTTATATTGTTCATCCATTAGAAGCCTTCGTAATTGACGTTGAAGGCATTTGTATGCTGTATTATAGACTCACCTAGTACCGTGACTGGAGATTTTAACGGTATTCGGACAATATATCGACCTGATGAGTGACGCTGATGAGTTTTCTTGAAGTAGTCCTCGCATTTTTGGTCTTTGGGTGAGCGCACGTTGTCTTGTGGAGTAGGAATTTTTCCTGAACCCAGAATTTCGTTAGTAATTGTTGTATTGCACTGTTGTCTTGAGATACCATTGTATGAAAGACATTAGGTTGTATGGATGATGTGTGCTGAACCGGTCCAAGTACCAGCCAACCAAAAATTGAGGACTGGGCTATGGGAGTGTCTGGTGAGTTATAGATGACATCTGGCTTTATTATCTGGCCATAGTTGTCAGCTCCAATGATGATGTCTATTTTCTGAGGTGTCAAAAAGGTTGGATCAGCTAGTTCCAGATGGTTGAGGTGAGGCCAACTTGTAAACGAAGTGTGAAAAAATGGTAAACATGATGTAAGGCTCTTTCGGATGTGAGCTTCGATAGTGATCATTGCAGATGAGTGAATGGATTGTAGACTGCAGTTTGTCACTCCCTTTATTTTAATTGGATGGTCGCCACCGATTCCAGTAACTGTCAGTGCGGAGTGGCTTTTCTTTAAGTTTAGTAAGGTAGCGAGATTGTCAGACATAAATGTTAGTTCTGAGCCTGGGTCTACTAATGCTCTCGCTTGATGAGTGCTTGACGTTGATATTACCTTTACGAGTGCTGTTGCTAAAAGTGTTGACTGATGTGTACGCGAATGACAGGAAACTGCTGTTTGACTGACCTGTCCTTGATGTTGATGTGTCTGCTTTTGGACTTGCACGTCTGACCGACTAGGTCGGACCCTCAACCCTCCTGATGCCGAAACATCATGTGCTAAGGTCATCGCATTAGCCAAGCCATCAGTAACACGACCAGTTTCTATTAATGACGTTTCCTGAGGTTCGCTTGAATTTACATGATGTGTCGAGACTGCACTGAGTTCCTATTGATGTGATGAGGTTGATGCTTGAGTGGTAATTTGATCCGAAAACCGCGAATCCTTCTCTGGTGTGCTCGCTCATGCATCATGTCGCATTGTATGATGGCGCTTGGAACATATTTTGCACGAAAATTGGCTCTTGCACATCGGAGTATTGTGCCTGCCAGTACAATTGAGGCACAGCTTCTTTTCCCTCACTAGTCTCAGTTTTTCATCGGGTGTTGATTTTTGAAATTTGATGCAGTCAGTGGTGAAGTGGTTGGAGTTACAGTAATCACAAGTATATTTCGAATTTTCCCTCTGCGTAACCTGTAAGCTGCTTTTACGAAGGTTTTTGAATTGATGTGTCTGAGGTGTTGGTTTTCCAGGACTTTCAATATTTTCGAGTGTCCGAATTCGTGCTGAGAGAAAATCGTTTAGTTGCTTTAGCTGCGGTATGTCATGGGAATCACCAATATGCTCCTCCCATTTCTCTTTGGTGTCTTTGTCAAGAAGTCGAGTGATGTGGTATACGAGAATGCAATCCCAGTTTTCCGTTGATTGCCCAAGTATCTCGATTGATTTGATGGCATTATTCATGGTGGTGAGAAGCGCAGATAACTGACCTGATTTTGTGGGAGATCTTTTTGATTCGGTGACGTCACTGAAGATTTGGTCCAGCTGGGCATAAACCAGTCGTCGCTTGTTCTCAAACCTTTTTTTTGAGTGTTTCCCAAGCTGTTCTGAACCCCTCCTCGGTGTGAGGCAGGGTGGCGATTTGGGAATGTGCTCTTCCCTTAGTATATTCTCGCAAATAATAGAACTTTGCTATTGAGTCGAGTTGCGAGTTGTTCATGACTAGGGAGTTAAATGTTTCTTTAAATGGAACCCATGAAGAAAAGTCTCCATAAAATGTGGGTAGAGATATCTTCGGTAGCCGAGAGAATGAAGTTTGTGGCACCGCGTGATGTGTCTGTGAAGTTTGAAGTGTCCGAACTGTAGCTTTTATTTTGGCGAGCAATACCTTGAAGTCACCGAAAGCTTGGCCTTCCTTAGTGAAAACATCCTCCACGAAGTATGAGTGAGTATTCAGCGGGCCCGGCCAAGTCACTTCTAAATAGGCGTGTTCTTTCGCAAACGATTTGTGAAGTGCTTCCACCTGTTCATAAATTGCCTTAACTTCTTCTTGCGATATAGGTGCACCTTGGTCGCGTAGAGTGGTAGAGAAGCTTTTTATTAGCGCAACCCGACCCAGTTGTGAGTTTGCTTTGAGGGTCAATTCCATTGGAAGTGTTGACGGTGAAGTTGATCGCGAGCGTCGCTTATTTTTATCTGCTGCTGGTTGGCCGGCGTGTTTGAGTTCACGCTCTTTGCTTGCAGATGTTCCCAGTTGAATGGTTGAGAATGTTCCCGGTGGAATTAAGCTAGCCATGCTTGGAACTTGAAGTGTCGGTGGTGGAGTGTCTGAGCCTTCAGTCTGCTCTGATGAACGCTTTTCATCACCATTTTTTGACATGTCGAATTGGTGTTTTTAATAGATGAAATTATGGAGAGTTTCGGAAAATAATAATCCGGTTCGAAGGACCAGCACATGCAAAATACTTGCATGAAAGTTTTGGAAATTGATTCCTTGATGATTGCGTTTCTTTATTTAGATTAATTTTACACACGTGTGTCAAGAGGTAGTAAAAAGATGAATTCAATAATAAACAAGATAGCGATGAGTGAATAAAATCTATGTAAAAAAGGTAATCGAAAATCGATATACTATAAGACTAATATTGGGGTTACACTGTGGTCAAGCGAAACACTAATATCTAGTTCACACTATGATAAGGTTAATTACTAATACTATGTTCACACTATGATAAAGAAAAATACTAATACTATGTTCACAGTGTGAGAAGGCAAAATACTAATACTAATACTTAGTATGATTTCAATAACGACATAAGTTTTCAACAAATGAAAAGGTTGTTAAAATATTTTAAATGGCACTAGAAGAGCGATTAAAACGCATACTACATAACAAAACTACGTGTTTACTGAATATGTTGTTTTTTATCACACACGAAAATTAAAATGAAAGCAACTTATTGTTTCCAGTAAATCGGAGGATCTCAAAGGTTTAACCGCCACTTGAATAAATTAATGGCAGCGCGCAGATTTTTCCCCCAGCCGGCGGCTCCTAGACCTGGACATTTGGCAAGCCTAGATCTGGACATTTGGCAGGCCTAACCGTGCGATTTTTCACGTGATTTACTCCGAAGGCTTTATTAGAACTATAAACTATGCGTTTTATGCAATTTTCTTGGTTTTCTGCAATTTATTCGAAACTTTGAGGGCGTAGAAGTCAAACGGATCTCGGATTCGTGTTCAAAGGGTCGAATTACATGTCGGTACGTGGGTCTGGTTAAAAGCACGCACCAAATTTTTATGTGTGCTATGTAATGCTATTATTCTCATCTTTTTGTTTACCTGGAAATCCTATTTTAAGTATAAAAATCGGCAAACAAATTGATTTACTGCCGTCAAACGCCGTTTTCTTAAATGGTAGGAAAGAAGCCGTTTTGCTATGTTTTTGAACCCTCTGGTTATAACGCGCAGTACCATACCGCTGCTGCTTGAGCAAGCCTTTATATAGAAAACAGCTCCTATAGGGATTTTATTTTGTTGCTTTAAATAGAAAAGTTCTTTAAATGTAAACTGAACCATTTTCACCTAAGCTAAGGGCCCGTTGTTATATGTATGACGACTATGGAACATTATCCACATCGCCTTAACAGTATTCAATAGAAGCACATCGTACCCAGGGCTGCCAA